ATATAAATACATGAAACACTATTAAAATGTCAAAATAGATTATGAAGAGTAAGTTTAAGGAACAACATTAATGGGGTTAAAAACAGCAAGGGAAACATAAATAATCTGTGACAGGTACTCATGTAAAATTTAGGATACATTTTATTGCTTGTATTTGATGCATATGCAAATCCAATTGTTAAATCCTATTTCAGGAGAGAAGTAACACTATTTTACTCCAAAGAGAAGAGCAACACTTTAAAAGTACAACAAAATGATTTGAGAAAGTAGAACATTATACTAATTTAATACAAAATCTGTAGCTGTGTAATATCAGATTGAAAGAGGCCTGGACCTTTTGCCTTGAAATTCGGAAGAGATTATTTTTTAGAAACACGCATACATCCGTCGTAAGTTTCGTACAGCTGAACGTCTAATAAATCGGAATTATAAAAAAAAAGGGGGTGGGGTGAAGAGTAGACTTTGAGCCGACATTCCGGAGTAAAAATTGACGATCGCGAAGTACGCGATATTGTGATCGATGTCTCCGAAAAGAAAAGGGCTGGGGCAAAAGTGACGAACGTATGTTGATTTTCGTAAACGTCATCGAGGCATCAGATCAGCGTTTTTCGGCCATCCCGAGTGTGAGAAAATCGTGTAAGAGGACGTGGGCAGTAGGTTTGACGGAGTTGTTCTGCAAGTTTTGATCGTAAAATGGAAATACAACGAATAAGAAGGATGTCGGTTTAATCGGTACCATGCGGAATCAGTAGGATGATTAAACCGGGAATATCGAAGTAGGTGAAGGCAAAGAAGAGAGTCGAGACAGGTGAGCAGTGAACCGAGCTCCGGATGCAGGGCTCTTACCCGAGGTGGTTCTCGAAGGCAGCGGAATCCTGTTTGCACCTTTTCTTCGGGATCTCCGCACGTAATTGCGCGACGATGTGAACGACGCACTTGGCATTTTTATCGTGCTTCCCGTAAAATTATGCGAGAAACGGTAAAACAACTAAACACTAAACAATGGCGACACTTCCACCGAGCTCAGCGGCCATCTTCTCATTGACGGTAGGACTGCCGACTGGTGCCAGACCGCCAATCGGATGAATTTCTGCTCTCCCCCTCTTCCCTCACCGACCTCCCTCCTTCCTACGCGGTCCTTCTCTCTCCTTCTACCCCTTACCGATTCCCTCTTCTGCAATGGATCGCAACACAAGCAACCAACATCAGTATGGAGTTATGGAGACCGCGGACCGAAATACTGATTTGTCCTGCATATCCGCAATTCTATCATGTTTCGTTCTCTCAGTGATGTACGTCGCGAGTTTATATGTATGGAGTTCTCCTCACAGTAGGTATGTAATGCCGATTAACAGCGATAAACGTCAATTTTTAAATGTCCATTTTGTGCGACCGTGTATGCTCTCTTGGTCCTTTAACAGTGAACCACAGGAAACCACGAACAAAGTGTAACTGTATTCACGTCGACTGAGAACATGAATGTCTACTCTTTGATTCTCCCATTCACGCAGTCGCTTTTCTGGACAAGAATCGAATCTACAGCGCCTCTATTGGGCAACTTTTTCTTCAATTTCTTCTGTAATTTGGCGCGCCATTTGAAAACAACTACATAAAACTGTTAATATTCATTTGATCTCGATAATATTGATTTCAATGTCTTAATTTGAAATTTATCGAATTTGTCGAGCTTTTATTATTTTTTTACCTTCTGCAGTAAGCTTTATTTTTTTTTCCTAACAATATTTCTACTACTTGAATATTTTAATAAAAAAAAGTGCTCTAAAAGAAGTAAAATCAATAAAATACCAGTAAAAGTCTTTTGTATTGCAGGGACCATCCATCAGTAATAAAAAAAAGATTTTTTAGTATTTTTATTGTGTCTCTCATATCTCCTGCATTATTGTATTTTGGAATGAATGAGAAAGTATTTGAAAAGGTAATTGTATGTAATGATGCAATTAATTATATAGTAAATTCTATATTGTAATTTATTACTTTTAGGCAACAATATGGCAATTATTGGGTCTACGATGGTGTGGTTTAATTCAAGCAATTGTGATACCATTGTTATTAACAATGATACTATTTCTAGGGCCATTATGTGTACAAGGTTTCAATGGACATTTGAGATATACTGGTTATATATTTACTGGTTATATTATATATATGCTGGTTATATATACTATACAATTAACATATCATCATACAAATATATATGTTTGCCTTTTTTAGAGCCTAATTATTGGCTTGTATGGTGGAGAAATCTAATAGTTGCTCCTCTGGCTGAGGAATGGACATTTAGAGCATGTATGTTACCATTGCTTTTGCAATGTTTTACACCAACTGCTGCCATATTTATATGCCCCTTATTTTTTGGAGTTGCTCATTTTCATCATGTAGTAGATACGGTTAAAGCAGGCATAAATCTTAAACGTGCATTTTTTTTATCTTGTGAGTATTTCAATTTTGATTTAATATAAGTATGCTGTTGTATTTATTATACTAATAATGGCTTGATTTAGGTTTTCAATTTGCCTATACAACATTGTTTGGAGCATATGCAGCTTTTCTTTTTGCTAAAACAGGTAGAATATGATTTTTTCTTAATTTAAATATAAAATTTCTACAGATTTCATTGAATTTGAAAGTTTATATCTACTGTTTCTTTTAATAGGGCATTTAGCAGCACCATTTACAGCACATTGTTTTTGTAATCATATGGGATGTCCTGATCTTTCTGAAGTAGTAGCAGTTAAGGATCCTTTAAAAAGAGCTGGTTTGTTTTCTTTATTTGTACTTGGATTGGTAGCTTGGTGTTTTTTATTAACACCAATGACAAATCCAAGATTATTTTATAATAATTTATTTTAGCATAAACATTTTATATGAGTGATTTATTTGCAACAATGTCACTAATGCTATTTACATTTTTATAAAAATAAATTAGTCTAACTTGAACTGATATCATTATAACAATTGCATAATATATCTTTGAATATATTTGTTACTTAAAACATTGTATATAAGTTGATGAGACTGTTTTAAAAATTATATAACACAAGTGAACTTTTATAAATTAGAAGTTAACATAATTCGTATATTGCAAGATTTTAATCATTGTCATTTCTTTGTTTATGATCTTTAAAATGTTTATTTAAATCAGTTACACATGCAATATAGAACTCATATAAAATCACCGTAGTGCCTCAAATGCAATTGAGTCTACATAGTTATAATCATGAATGCCAATAAAAATTTAGATTAAATTCTTCCTAAAACGAAGATGTTGATGAAATATGTAGATAAAAAGATACGACATTGTTACAATAAACACTGTGTTATTTTTAATTAATAAGAATCATCATTTCTATAAGAGTGTATCTTTTTGGAAGTTTTTTCCGATATAATGTACAAATGCGAAAACGATTTTATTTCAAAATTACTTAACCCTTTCGCTATGGCTGTGTTACGCTGAAAAGCGATTATGGAATATGGTCGCGTAGTCTGCTAGCTTTACTTATCTAGGTTAGAAACTAATTCGGTGTAATGATCGGAGGATTGATTGTTTGCACATGATTTTTTTTTTATTTCATAATTGCAGAAACGAATAAAATATGTACATAAAAATCAAATGAATGTGATATTCGTCTGAACCTATTATAGGGAGTCCTGAAGAATTTCTAAGGATTCCCTAATAAACTTTGCTGTTAAGCTATCCTAAAGAGGAATGTCTAAACTGATAAATTCTTTACAAGTGTCTGAACCTAATTGACTCAATGTTGTGTTTCCACTAGATTTTCTTAAATGGGAAAATATCTTGCGTGAATGAGATGCGCACTAAATATAGCGTGTACTATCGTCAATGCTTATAAAAGGCTTTCCATTTAATGGTCGTTATAGTATAACAATTAAAAATGTTGTGGTCAACTAAAATCGGAGCTAGTACGTAGATTTTTGTATCCTCCGATCGTTTCATAAATGACAAATAATGTCAGCATTAATAGCGAAAAGGTTAATTACTTCCTATATGTATATATATGTAAAAACAGGTTTACATTCATGCAAGCATTAACAATACATATATTAATTGTTTATTTAAATCACAGAAGTAACGGTTATAATAGTATTATAATATTTTTCATCGATGTGTATTAGTATTTATCTAGTAAAGATACAGGAAGAAATAATAATTATGTAGTAAAAAATCAAAAGTACAGTTAAAATAAATGACAACGACATCGATGTATATATTCATAAAAGCAGAGAAATACGATATGCACAGTTACGATATCTGCGCCTGTAATCGTACTTTTTACCCGTCGGCAATAGCTATACTAGATAATTCTTACACTTTTGAAACTATTGTTAGGACTGATACTAGTGAAAACGTTATACATAGTTTTAAGATAAACAATTTTATTTCTAAAAGTTTGATGTATTTCAAATAAGCAGAATTAAGTATAAATGAGTTGTTACAAGATGTCATATGCATTGGAGTTTTGCTCCAAAATTATATATAATGTTGGTCTTGAATCTAGGAATGTGAATAAGGTGTTTTAGGTGAAAGCAGACGAAAATTAGACGATATTGCAACCTGTTATCAATGACACTCAATATATACAATTGTAAAACTCTTACTTTTCTACTTTAGAATAATCGAAATTATACATTGCATCTTGTATGATATTACATAATTTACTTAGGAATAATATAAAATGTAAAGATTTAAATGATGCAAAGAAAGTGCATGATTTTTAAATCTGAATGATACTATTTTGTTATTACTAACACATTTACTTATAGTTATTTTATCGTTACAGTTCTTACAAATATACTATTATATTTTTATTTATTATATCACTTTCA